AGTAATGAACAAGGCTGGGAGTTTTTAAAAGCCTCAGGAATCTTTTGCAGGTGTTTAGAGTGACGTCGTTGATTCAGATGGTTAGGTTAATAGCTTGTTTAGAGAACCTTTTCATGATATGCTAATTTTTTTGGGACAGGCATTTTGGGTTTTCATGAGCTGTATGCCATAATCATCAGTATTAAAACAATTAAAGACCTGAAACATTTCTGTTGGTGTGCAATGAATCTGAAATATATGAAAGTTTCATTTTTATCATTACATTATGGAAAATAATGACCTTTATCACAATATGCTAATTTTTTGAGAAGGACCTGTATAGGTTAAGGTCTTATGTAAAATCCCACTCATAAGCCCAAATAAAACCACATAAATGCATGACACATAGAACCAGAATGGCACCCACTGGGAACCACCAGCAGCAACATTCGCTGAAGGGACCTACAACTCCAACGTGGGTCTCCAATCTTCATCCAGTGGTCGCCTCTGCAGTTCAATCGAGGGAACTCTTCTGCATACTGATCAATCAACACCTCCAATCGTTGTGGATTTATCATTGTGGATTATATGTCTTTTTCCAATGGATTACAGACTTTGTTTCCAAGGGGTTAAAGCATTGCTACAATGGAATTACCAACAACATTATGGAATTACCAACAACATTATGGAATTACCAACAACATTGTGGAATTACCTAAACCGTTGTGGGATTACCTTCTTTGACTTTTGTTTTCCTCTTGCTGGATTACATCAAGACCAAGGACATTCGGAGGCGTAAGTTCACATTGGAATTCATCCCCATGGACAGGCGATGATTTCCAAAGGGGGGACTGTAGTGGACTAGGCCTCCGACCAAAAACCTGCCTCTGAGGACCTTCATGGGACAGGAACTGTTATTTCATTGATTTGAAGACAGAAATACAAATTAGCTCATCCAGAGACTGTCTTAATTGTATCCTGAAGTAATCATATGAAAGAACACTCTCTTTTTTAAATTATCATTACTATTTTACAATATCTTGATAATCAAAAGTGTGTTTAGTTCATACCATTTTTAAATGTTGAAGTGAACCACTCATTTTAAATCAACTGTGAAATAGTATTGATGATTTTTTAATCCTCATTTAAATTAGAAATCAAGTTAAATGTCTATTTTACAAAGTAATTATGCATTTTTTTTGATCTTCTGTCTGAAATGAGAAGGAGTGACGTCGGTCAAAAGTCGGAGACAGTCAAAAACTAGTTGTTAGAACAGGCTGTCATGTTTTTAAAACTCTCCGACAGTA